TTTTTACATTTTGTTTGTATTATATCATATATAAAAAAACTTTTTGTACTAATTGTGAGATAAAAAAATACACACTTGTTTCGAAGTATTTGGCAAATCTTTGTCACAGATCTTGGATTATTTTTTGTTCCCTTATTGTATTGTAGATGATGTTCTTGAGAATTACTCTATTTAACTTACTTCTGAAGATGAATGAGTTATATAAACAGTTAATCTTCGAAATCAGTATCATTAGCAATTATTGGACCCCCGTAGTAATCTATTCGCTTCCCCTTAAAACCTGCCCGGCGTTTGAAATAAGAAATTATTGATATTCCGCAATTATTAGTACTTAATTACAAATCAACTTTTGAAAAACAAAACCAGTCAATTTAAGAATTAATGTTGTTGTATTACATTTAAAGTAAAGGCACTCATCAATTAACTCTAATATGACTGCATATCTCGAATACATTTGCAATCAAATTTTTTATAATAAACGCGTTTGAATCAAATTTGAATCTTAAATTCTACTCAAAGTTTAACAAATATACTCGTATATGAATATAAGTTTCAGTTTAATTTTCTTATTTATAAAAGAAAAAAAAAAGTTTAAAATATTGGAGACAAGGGAGATTTATCGAAAGTGTGAAAAACAACCGCTGGAAAACATGTAAAACTCAATTGGACTGACACTGTTTATAAGAAATAATGCAATGTTGTCGCGAAGAACGCGTTAATATTAATTAAATTTAAGTTAGAAATGTTAAAAAAAGTCACTTGTAATGCTGCTGTTTATGTGAAACCCCGGGCCCGATTTGCATAGCATGAAAAACTGGAAAATGCCTATTTGTAAAAAATATGGGTTGAATATAGTAAAAAGTGAAAATTTGGGTATTTTAGAGGAACAAAAAATAAAAACTGTTGGTTGTGAAAATGGTGAAAAAAATTGGTTAATAAATGTTAAAGATTGTTACTGGACTTCAATTAAAGGGTAGCGTGGAGTTTTGGCATTTTTTTCCAACATCTGTTAAAAGAATTATTTTAACACCTACTGAAAACAAGACTGATTGACAATTTGATTAAACAGAATGTAGAATTCGAATGGATAATACCCAAGTTTGATTGTTTTAAGAATTTGGGAAAGAGGGTCAAGATTTAAGTGTATCTTATGAAAATAATAAATTTCAAACATAGGCCAAATAATAGACAAAATAAGAATGTCGTCGCATTGTTCTTAAATATCGATTATGGAAGACACAGGAATATCGAGAGACAAAATAGACTATGTGAATTATGTGATAAGCTAACAATTGAGGATGAATTTCATTTTGTACTGGAATGTAACATATTTAAAGATAGACGTATGAAATTTATTCGCAAAATATTAAGGCAGAGACCTATATGATGAAATTTGTTGAACTTATGAAAACAGAGAACAAAACGTTTACTTTTGTTAAGGCATTTAACAACGGCAAGAGTTTACTTAACCGTGTTTAAAATACAACACTCTCGTAAATATGATATGATAAATGTGTATTTTATATAAGAATATTATTGCCATGTACATGTATGTATATATTTTTGTATATGTCTATATGCTGTACCATGCATACGACTAATATAACCTTCTGTTCTGTTCTTTTCCTGCTTTTTAATTTTTATTTTTAAACCCCGGGAAATGGCTTAAAAATTGTTGGGGACCCCCCGGTATTTTTTGTAACCCCCGGGTTTTCCCCGGGGCGGTTTATTTTTAAATTTTATATTTCCCGGGATTTTTCCCGGGGCATTTGGGAATATAAAAAAATTTGATCTTTTTTTAGTTATTTCGTTTTAGTTCTTTAAAAATTTTAAAAGGATTATTATTTGGAAAAAAAAAAAAAAATTTTAAAAAAAAAAAAAGGGGTTTTTTAAATTCCAGCGTAGTAAAGTTTTCTAATTGATGGTCCCGCAAGGGATAAAAATCGAAAATAAATAAGTTTTTAAAAATAGGAATTTAAAATTAAAAATTTAAAAAAATTATCAAAATTCTTTTCAGTGTTCAAAAGGGGATTCAAAAGGGCGAAACATTACGTACCTGAAAGGTGTGCGGACTAGATATCTCAACATTTTAAAAACGGAAATTAAAAATGCGCAAGGGAGTTTAGAAAGTGATATTGATTTTAGTGACAAAGAGGAATATATTAATAGTGCTGAAAATGTGTTGAGAAAATGAATGTTTACCGGAGAAAACTTGAAAATCAAACTGATAAATTGATATGTGTACTTAGTGAAAAAGATGACGAGTTGATAAAATCTATTCTTGATGAAGATTGCACAATTTGTGAAGGAGTTGTGGATATGTGTTTCTCTCTTAACAAATTTAAGGACAAATTTGTGGATGCAAAACATAAAAGTGAAACGGTAAGTGCACATCAAAATTTTAAACTAGACAACATGATATGCAAATATATTGTTGTTAGTCAAATGAAACAACAACAGACAATTCTAGAAATGAACGAGAAGAAAGAAGCAATGAGATCATCGGTAAAGTTGCCAAAGTTAGACTTGCTATCATATAATGGTGATAAGCTTAAATGGTTGGAATTTTGGGACTCGTATGAGTGCACAATACATAAGAATAAATCGCTGTCAAATATTGAGAAATTCACATATTTGAGAAATAAGCTGTACGGAGAGGCAAAACGTGCTGACGAAAATTACATGTTGGCAATTCATATCTTGAAAGAACGTTTCGGGAATATACAAGAAGTGATTGATCTACATTACAATCAGATGATAAATGTAACTCCAGCCTATAACAGAGTTGAAAGTTTGAGAGAATTTTTCGACCAAGTTGAAAAACATCTTCGAAGTCTCGAAGTCCTGAATCGATGTATTTGACTCTATGATACGTTCAAAACTGCCTCAAGAAGTTTTGCTTCAACTTGAAATGCATAAAGGAACAGAGGATAAATGAACAGTGTCAAATCTCCGCGATAAGTTCAAAGCTAATGTGAATGCACTTGGGAAAGCGGATCAAAAGCTACCATTCTCAGAATCACGGAGATATAAACAAATGAATTCTCCTAACCAGCAGAAGCAAAGACGTAAAGTTTTCTACGGAAACCAGAGTACACGGGACCATTCAGGTAAATCTTTAAGTTCAGCTGAAGCTCTGGTTACAAGTGAAGTAAGAAATTTTGCTGACAAGAAGTTTAAGAATTGCCGGTATTGTGATAAGAAACATTGGTTTGATGAGTGCCCTACTTTTCGCACGATTGCAGAACGAAAAGGAAAACTTATAGGAAGCTGTTTGAAGTGTCTTAAATTAGGTCACAATTCCGCTGAATGTAAAGGAAAAAAGAATTGTGTATACTGTGTTAGATTTAATGTGCACCATCGTAGTTTGTGTCCTAAAAAGTTTCGATTAGGTGAATTTTGTGTTGTTAATCCTGAAATAACAGACACAATTAACAACAACGAAATCCATGAAGAAAGTGTTCTTGTGTCCTGTGATGAAAGTGTTTTAATGCAGACAGCAAGAACGGAAGTAAAAAGTCCACTGGGGACTACGAGTGAAAATGCACGTATTCTGCTTGATTCGGGATCTCAAAGGACATAATTATAATACAGAGTCTCTAGCGAGCAAACTTGGAGTAAAGAAATTAAAAGAAGAAGAAATAAAGTTAGTTACCTTTGGATCGGACAAGCCTAAGATAATTAAAACATATTCTACAAAAGTGTGCTTGAAACTTAGTACTGGCAAATACATTGAAATAAATGCCAATATTGTACCGGTAATTAGTGGAAACGTACAGAAAAAGCCAGCTAAATTATTTCCTGACGAACATATGAAACATTTGTTCACAAATTGGAACATGGCTGAAGACCTTTCATCAAATAAAGAGTCATCAAAAGTGGATTTATTGCTAGGTAATGATTATTACCTAGATATTGTAATGTGTCAAAGAATGGAAGTAAAACCAGGATTTTATCTTCTTGCTTCAAAGCTTGGTTGGATACTTACAGGCCGAATACAGGAAACAAGTGTATATGAAAATGAAACAAATATGCTTATTCTTACGCATGGATCAAATGCATGTGTAAGCACCACAAATGTGTTAGTGTTGATTCAGTTGTTCAAACCAAACCAGAGTTGGAAGACATTTGGAAGATCGAATCGTTGGGAATTACAGACAATCAAGATAATACAAATGATGAAATTGCTTTAATGAAATTTAAAGATACATTAAAATATGAGAACGGAATGTATCAAGTAACATGGCCTTGGAAAGAAGAAACTCCAGAACTACCAGAAAACAGAGAGCTAGCATTGGCTCGATTGAAATCAAATATAGCAAGAATGAAAAACAAACCAGAATTGTTGAAAAAATATAATGAAGTGATACAAGACCAATTTAGTAAAGGTGTAATCGAGAAAATAGATAGAAGTTTCGAAGAGTGATTTAGTGCATTATATTCCACACCATGCAGTAACTACCCCACACAAATCAACTACCAAATTACGTGTTGTTTATGACGCATCTGCAAAATCAGATAGAAACAATAAAAGTTTAAACGAGTGTTTATATCGAGGTCCAGTTATGATTCGTGATCTTTGTGGATTATTGATGCGTTTTAGACATCATCAAGTGGCATTGGTTTCGGATATTGAAAAGGCTTTTTTACAAATTGGCCTACAGCAAGATCAGCGGAATGTCACACGATTTCTGTGGATAAAATATATAAAAAGACCGATTGTCAGTAGTGATAATGTTCAAGAATTCAGATTATGTCGTGTTCCATTTGGTATAATATCAAGCCCCTTTTCGTTAGGTGCCACTCTTGAGAGCCATCTAGAATCATACAACAACAACATTGCTGACAAAATTAAAGGTGATATCTACGTTGATAACGTAATTACAGGTACAAATACATTGGAAGAAGCATATGATTTGTACAAGACTAGTAAAAGAATCTTTGCTTATGCCTCTATGAATCTGAGAGAATAGGCATCAAATAATTCTCAATTAAATGAAATGATTGCGACAACAGACCAAACAAAAAGTATCTCTATCAAAGTACTCGGAAAAACATGGGATACAAAAAACGACACACTTACTCTAAATGAATCATCTGTGTCGAGTGATGAAAGCATTTTGACAAAACGTATGATTTTAAAGCAGATTGCATCTGTTTTCGATCCTCTAGGATTGTTGTGTCCAGTTGTGCTGGAAGGAAAGATCCTTCTGCAATCAATATGGAAGAACAAATATGATTGGGATGATTTAATAGAGGATGATGACATTAGTGAAATTTGGTCAACTGTGAAAAGTGATATAAAATCGATTTCTGATTTTAAAATACCTCGATCCGTTTCACTGCAGAAATACGACGAAGATACAGAATACAGATTGTTGTGTTTTTGTGATGCTTCTGCAAAGGCATATGCTACGGCAATATATTTACATCAGAAAAGCAAGTTAGAAACAAAAGTTGATTTAGTGTTTGCTAAAAGTAGGCTTGCGCCTTTGAAAGAAATAACTACCCCAAGGTTAGAATTAATGGCAGTTTTGATAGGAGTACGCTGTTTGATATTCGTGAGTAATCAGCTACAGTTAAACATCAAAGAAAAATACTTATGGACAGATTCTAAGTGTGTTCTTCACACATTCACACATTCTTAAGTTGATAAAGTCAAATCTTTGAACCTAATCAAAGAACGGATTGTCAGGAGATTTATGTACGTATATTAATTGTGACTTCAAGCGATTCTAATGGGAAACACATTTTATTTCACTGATATTAAACAGATTGAAGGAAATACTATGGAGGAATATTAACTGCACATAAAATGACAGAAATTAGCATAAATGGAGAAAACGATAACTCTCCGAATTTCTCCTGCGAATATTGTTTTTCTTATTATACATACAAAATCCCCCATTTGTTGTTCTTGGCTATAAAAGTCCTGGAATCAAGCTGACTGAAGTATGCTTTAATACTTAATTTGTGTGGAAATAATTATTTAAGAATTATTTAATGCTAGACAATGTACATACTTCAATAGTATAAATTATTTTGTTGATACTACAGTTTTTTACAGGCAACGTTTAGCCATCTTAATTTGTTTGGCATTTAAACACAAGTTGTCGAATCAATCTGCGTCTGAGTCGGTGTCATATAAGGGGTGCCATAAAGTTTTATGACATAACATTGCTCTGTCCTTGAAATTGATGTCAGTTTTGCAACACAAATGTTACGAATGTGTCAAACCATCTTGACCAAGTTGTTTACTTGCATATGGCGTCAGAACTTCAACTATAAATGTTATGCGATGGCAACATGTGATGCCAAGTTAACAACGCTTCTGTTGAAACTGCAATTTTAGCAACTATTCATTCTGTTAACATGACTAAATTTAAAAATATGTAGCATTATGTAGGAAATAAATACTTTAGCAATATTAAAATATCATATTAATTTGACTGCATATAATTAATTAAGAGCCTTGTCTACTAACATTCTGGACAGTCCTCGTACAACTTAAATATTATTGCATATAAACATAAGTGCAGAAAGTAACGGTTTTGTACATCCTAATTTGTGTTTAAAAGGGAAAATATAATTGCGGCAGAATCCTCGAGGGACTAAAGAAATGCTATGATGAAATCTTTCACAATCTATTCTTACAATTTATGTGTAGTTAAAGACACTCAAGGGTGTTCGTGATAAACGCATTTATCAGAGATTTTAAAAATGTGTTCTGTTTATTATCAGGGAAAACATTGGTACATATTATAATATTTTGTTAAACATAAGAAAGTCTGGGCTTACATTCTTGCTGCAGAATCATTCTATCAGAATAATAGAGTGAAATTTTGTAGAAATATTATTAGGATTTCGAAACGACTTTATATCGTATTTAGCTGGCACATAGTGCAGTTTTAAATGCATTCTTGCTACAGAATTATAGAGTGATATTTTGTAGAAATATTATTATGATTTCAAAGCTACTGATTTATTCGTATTTAGTTGGCACATAGTTTAGTTTTAAGAGGATTCTTGCTGCAGAATCATTCTATCAGTATAATAGAGCGAAATTTTGTAGCAATGCTATTATGAGTTATCGAGAAAATCCTGAATATGTAATGGGACTGAACTGATTAATTTGTTCAAGAAAATGATAAAAATAGATGTATGTTTATTTTTCACTCTATTTAACGGTCAGTATTTTTAATAATATATCCGAAAAGGGTGCAAAAAATGTTTATCTGAAGTATCATATTGACATTAGTTAAGATTTTTAAACGAATAAACGACGGCGACTGTTTTCTAATTTTGCAAAACTTTTCGTGAACTGTGGTAAACTACCTTATGTATCGTCATTATAATTGATGAAATAAATAATATTGTCGTACAAATTTATCCATGTTAAATACATTTCAATATCACAAGGTCAGCATTTTCTGATCATGTAAAGACATCATATTAGTCATTTTACTGAATTTCTTTTTTCTCCGAGTTGACAAGGAATAAGTGACAAACGAAATTTGAGCTATATACATGCACTGCATAATATCATTCAGAAAGCAAATTCGTTTTCTGAACTGTCACTTTTGTGTTTATTTGTCAATGTAATTTTAAATTCAAATAATAAAACGTGTATGTCATACTGTCATACATATTGCTATTTGCATATCAAAGTTAAAAATAAAAACAAAATCAATATAAAGTTGTACATATCTCAGATAAAACTTCCTATTCATTAAAAGTTAAATAACAGCTATTGTTATAAACGAATTTTAACATTTAACTTGCCGTTTAACTTTTAAGAAATAAAATAGTATCACAAAGTACACACGTTGTTATCAGATTAACTTTTTGATAATATATATCATGATAAATTTTAGGGATGTATGTGATATCAAGCGCCCGGCTAGCTCAGTCGGTAGAGCATCAGACTTTTAAGGCTGAAGAACCTCTGATATCTGAGGGTCGTGGGTTCGAGTCCCCCGTTGGGCGTACATTTTTTCATTTTGGTTGTATATATATATATCATAATTATATAAAACAAAATTCTTGTACTAATTGTTAATAAAAAATACACACTTGTTACGAGTATTATACAAAATCATTGTCACAAATCTTGATTTTGTCTTTGTTCCCTTATTGGTATTAAGATGATGTTCTTGAATTACTCATTAACTTACTTATAGTTCGCACATAGAGTAGTTTTAAATGCATTCTTGCTACAGAATTATAGAGTGATATTTTGTAGAAATATTATTATGATTTCAAAGCTACTGATTTATTCGTATTTAGTTGGCACATATTGTAGTTTTAAGTGGATTCTTGCTGCAGAATCATTATATCAGAATAATAGAGCGAAATGTTGTAGCAATGCTATTATAAGTTCCAAGCTACTTATTTATTCGTATTTAGTTTGCACATAGACAATGTAGATTTAAAGCATTATTGCTGCGGAATCATTCTATCAGAATAATAGAGCAAAATGTTTGAACATATAAGTGTGACTTCAAATCGACCTATTTGTTCGTATATATTTTGAACATCGACAATGCAGTTTTAGATGAGTTCTGTCTGCAGTATTGTTGTGTCACAAGATGTCTGAAATGTGCAAACTCTATTTGTGTTTTCATTTTAAACATTGACAACTTCGCTTTAGCATAATGTTGCGTCCCCTTGAACTAACAGCTATCGAGAAAATCCTGAATATGTAATGGGAATTACTGAACTGATTTATTTGTTCAAGAAAATGATAAAAATAGATGTATGTTTATTTTTCAGTCTATTTAACGGTCAGTATTTTTAAAAATATATCCGAAAAGGGTGCAAAACATGTTTATCTGAAGTATCACATTGACATTAGTTAAGATTTTTAAACGAATAAACGACGACGTCTGTTTTCACAAAGGAAACAGGATTGCCTAGATGGTACTTCACTAGAAAAATTTAGCCAGTCTAATTTTGCAACACTTCTCGTGAACTGTGGTAAACTACCTTATGTATCGTCATGTATCGTCATAATAATTGATGAAATAAATGATATTGTCGTACAAATTTATTCATGTTAAATACATTTCAATATCACAAGGTCAGCATTTTCTGATCATGTAAACACATCATATTAGTCATTTTACTGAATTTCTTTTTTCTCCGAGTTTACAAGGAATAAGTGACAAACGAAATTTGAGCTATATACATGCACTGCATAATATAATTCAGAAAGCGAATTCGTTTTCCGAACTGTCACTTTTGTGATTATTTGTCAATATAATTTCAAATTCAAATAATAAAACGTGTATGTCATACTGTCATACTTATTGCTATTTGCATATCAAAGTTAAAAATTAAAACAAAATCAATATTAATTTGTACATATATCAGATAAAACTTCATATTCATTAAAAGTTAAATAACAGCTATTGTTATAAACGAATTTTAACATTTAACTTGCCGTTTAACTTTTAAGAAATAAAATAGTATCACAAAGTACACACGTTGTTATCAGATTAACTTTTTGATAATTTATATCATGATAAATTTTAGGGATGTATGTGATATCAAGCGCCCGGCTAGCTCAGTCGGTAGAGCATCAGACTTTTAAGGCTGAAGAACCTCTGATATCTGAGGGTCGTGGGTTCGAGTCCCCCGTTGGGCGTGTACATTTTTGTGTTTCTCTGTTTTTTTATTGATATTTTCTTGCCTATCTTAATATAAATAATAATCACTATTGAAAAAATAAATTAAACATAACAATATGTTTCGTGTATAATAGAAACACTTTCTGATACAATTTTGAAATTTATCAATTTCTTTTTTAATGTTTAACGTTCTTAAAATTACTAATAAATTCATTTACTGCAGATGAAAAATACATGCTTGATACCGTGATTGTTTCAAATGTATCACCAAACTCTTACGATATTTACCATAAAGGTAATTGAGGTAAATGTTTATTTCATTTATTTATTATTATTTCCCTTCAGGTTTGTTTCATTATTTTTTTTTTAATTTTGGAACTATGCAATGCGAATATTCTCCACTAGCACCACCTTGTTTAGTGATAAGGTTTCAATACTTATAAAATCGGTAACAATAAAACGTGTAGTGATATTTAGTCAAATGTTCTCATTATGAAGCAATAAACAAATGTAACCATAATCATTAGGTATAAAAAGATAATCTAGGTCTATTTAAAACTGTGTATCAAATGTAAATGATAAATTAGTCCCCGAGAGACAATATTTGTACAATGATTTTCTATTTGATTATACATCTTCACATTGTTTGTGTAGTTTATTTCACCCCTGAGTATCTTACATGAAATATATTATCAGAGAAATTGCTTATGGGTTCTGATAGGATAAGATTTGATAAAAGCGTAGCTCGCTACTTTCCGACCGAAATTTGACGACATCTCAGATCTTGGTGATTTTTTGTATGCAAACATATAGATATGTGAGCTTTACTTCTGCAGTATTATTTTATAAATAAACAGCGTTACTATGACGTCAAAGCGCCCTCTATCGGTGGCGGCGAAATTGTGTCTTTTTCTCAGTAAACCAATCTGTCCTTATCAATTTTCATCCGATTTCCTTCGTTTTAATTTTATAGTGTTCAGTAAATGTATGTCTTTGTAATGATATCTTTCTTTAACATT